TGTAAAAAATGAGTTTTGCTTCTGCATGATGATGATGCTTTTCCCATGAACTGCTCGGTACAGAGAAATCATATACTGCACAGCGCGCTCCTCCAAACACCCTGTACATGGTTGTTTTCAAGGTCCCCCATCTCCTCTGGAGCTCCCTTTCTGCCCCTGCTGTCACCCCCACTCTGTCAATTAATAAATCAGATAGGAAGAGATGTACTCACATGTTCTCTCATGTACTGTTGTAAATTACTGAAGACAAAATTACTAATTGCCACCGTTCACCTCAAGCCCAGCTTTCCTCCCTTCCCCTACCCCCCTCCCAGACAGTCTCCTGCCTCTGGCCGGGAGTTCTCTGTTTCCGTTTCATCTCCCTTCCATACCTCAGGACAGGGATGTGTCCAAGAAACCAGGCCAAAACCAGCAAATTTATCACTGTGCTAATGACAGCAAGCTGCATGCTGAGTGAATTCTGCAGTCCCCCTCAACTTCTTCTTTTGCCAAAACCTGTAGAGTTGCAAGATCCAGCCAATTACAGAGACTCTTATCTTCACATGAAAAATGGCTCTGTTGGAAATGCAATTAGGTATCAGCCATAAGGCTATTTTTGGAAGCTTGTTGAGGAAGAGCTCAAAAATAAAATTTGCCATGTGGTGGGAGACGTTAGCCAATTCTCCACAATGGAGCATCAGTAAATGCACTTTAAATGTACCTTTAACAATATGCAGCATTATAAAGACCCACTTCTTGTCCCCTGGGGATGTCTTTGTCTTTTTGTTCTGGAGGAGGTAGTTATATTTGTGGAGTTTATAGAACTCTCAATCCTGGGAGCAAAACCCCCTCTTTATATACATAAACAGTTCTTCCCAGGCTGGGGTGGTGAGGTGCAGGCAACAAGGATGGGGTGTGGGCTATGGAGAATCCTTAACCCTGTCATTCCCAAAATTCTTTCCCAGGGCTTGGGAAAGAGGGCTGGTTATTCCATCATCGGTGGGAGCAGCAGCATTCATACTAGTATTCAGGATACTAGACTGAGCACTTATGAGGGGTAAGGCATGAGGTTCAGAGGCGCAGATTTTGGGAGACAGGGAGGTCCATGGTCACTGTTAAGGAGGCAGGCTGTCAGGGAGGTATTTTTCCAGAGAGGAATATAGCCGAGGGTGTATGTTCTGAAGGAGCAAAACATCATCCCCTCCAGTCTTATTAGGACAATGGTACCCAGGGATGGTGGTAGCCAGGAGGCAGGCCAAGGACCAAGGCAGTATTGGTTCTCTACACTCTGGGCATGAGAGAGCCTTTAATGACCAATTCTAAATCAAGATTTGTTTCTAAATGGGGTACTGCATTTGCTTTGGCAATGTCTCCTTGTATTTTGAAGGATGTTTGTGCTTTGGTTCCTCAACATTCAAGTCAGCAATGCTCGATACAGTCCAGAGTCTTGGCCCAGCACCACCCCTATGCCCCTAGCTTCTTTACTCTGCTCATATAGGGTGAGGATCAGATCTTGTGGTGGCTGTGGCTCACCCAGGTTTCATGTCATATTCCTGTTGACTGCATGCTCATCCAATGCTTACCTCTGGGCCAGGTTCCCACCTCCCCAACTCCCTCTCAACACACTTCCTAAGTCCCCACCTTCCCCCACATGGAACTAGGGTGCTATGGTTGCTGATGCCCAATCCTTGATTCCTCTATATGCACAGTCCTTTCCAGTGGGGCACATGGAAGGCGATGACATGCCTGGAAACAACCAGTGAGAAGAAGCTGAAGGAACTGATAATGTTTAACTCAGAGAAGACAAGTCTAAGTGGAAAAATCATAGGAACCTCAGCTTGGTGAAGGACTCTCACTACCAATGAGTGAGAATTCTTATTCTGCTGTGCCAGAGACCAGACCAGGTTCAAATCTAAAAGTGATGGGAAGCAGGTGTCAACGCCATATCAATCATTTCTTATATACAATTTAATCAGTGGAACATCCTGGATACATACAAGTCAGAGGCGAAACAATAGTTTCATTCTGTAGAAGGGATTCCTAAATTGGCTGGGAAGTGAAACTGAATGACCTCTGCATCCCTCCCAATCATAACACCCTAGGAGTGGCCCTAGAACTTTCAGTAGGTGGCAAGGACTCCTGTGACTGCTGCATTGTCTACTCACCATTTGAATACTCACTTCAGCTGTAGCCTTTGTGCCATAGTATGTGCTCCACATGAGGAAATATATTAGACAAGGAAGCAATGCAATTCCTGGGCTTTCTCAGCATCCCCCAGCGGGGGATGTACACACAGAATACAGACAGCACTGACATTTTCACAATTGTGCTGAGCCCTTGGACATACACCCCAGAGCTGCTGTTTCACCCATCTCTAAGCACAAAATCGTGGAACTTTAGAGATAGAGGAAGGCTGGAGGGCATTTCTTCCCAACTCCTGCTTTGGACAGAAATTCTCTCTGCTCTAAGCCCAGCAGATGTTTGTCTGGCTTCTGCTTGAGCACTTGCAGGGAGGGGCTCACTGCTTTGCAATGAGACATGTTCCATTTTGCGGGGACCGAATCCATGTTGATACGGTTCTCATTGTGAGCTGTTTGTTTCTTGTATTGAGCCCCAAGTCTGCCTTTTTTCAACTTTATTCCCCCCCCCCCGTCAGCATTAGGACAAAACAAATCTGTTCTCTTCTCCATATGAGAGCATTCAGATTTTTTTTAAGACAGCTGTTATCTCAGTAGCTTCTCTCCTCCAAATCTTTTCTTCTCCATCTAAACATCTTAAGTCACCTCAAATATTTCACATGCTATGATTTCAGACCCTTCGCCATCCTGGTCACCATTTTCTCAATACTTTCTATTTTACTAGTGTTTCTTATGAACAGTAGCTCATAGAACAAATAACAACAGTGGTCTGACTACTACAGAGCACCATGAAGATATCACCTCCCTTGATCTACATGCTATACTTTTTTAATGCAACCTAGAATAATATGTGTTTCATGCCAAATGATCAACTGTTGTGTTCATATTAAGGCTATTGTCAACTAAATCCACAATCTTCATTATTTGATAGAGTTTTCAGATAGCTTAAAAGAAAAAAGTGACTGATACGTATGGCATGTAGCGTTTTCCTGTTATTTTCTTCTATATATTTTATGGTTTCAGGTCTTATGTCCAAGTCTTTTATCCATTTTGAGTTTTGTTTTTTTTTTGCATGGTGTGAGGTAGTAGTCTAGCTTCATTTCTTTGCATGTAGCAGTCCAGTTTTCTCAGCACCATTTGTTGAACAAACTGTCCTTGTTCCATTGCATATTCTTTGCACCCTTGTCAAAGATTAGTTGTCCATAAATATGTGGGTTTATTTCTGGGTTTTCTATTCAATTCCATTGGCCTGAAGACACATCCCCAAAGCAAAGAAAGTGAAGGAACAGATGAACAGCTGAGACTACATCAAATTAAGCTTCTGTACAGCAAAAGAGACATTAACCAAAACAAAGAGACACCCTACTGATTGGGAAAAAATTTTTGAACACAATAATACTGATAAAGGACTGATGACAAATATCTACCAAGAGCTGATGGGACTCAACAAAAACAAAGTAAATAACCCAGTCAAAAAATAGGCAGAAGACCTAAAAAGACACTTCTCCAAAGAGGAAATGCAAATGGCCAATGGGTTTATGAAAAAGTGATCAACTTCAAACTTCACTTGTAATCAGGGAAATGCAAATCAAAACCACAATGAGATACCACCTTACATCAGCTATAATGGCACATATTAAAAAAAAAAAAGCAGGAAACAACAAATGTTGGCGAGGATGTGGAGAAAAAGGAACTCTCCTACACTGCTGGTGGGAATGCAAACTGGTCCAACCACTATGGAAAGCTGTTTGGAGGTTCCTCAAACTACTAAAAGTGGAGCTTCCATATGATCCAGCAATTCCACTCCTAGGAATCTACCCAAAGGACACAATAACATTAACTCAAGAAGATACCAGCACCCCTATATTTATTGAAGCACTATTTGCAATAGGTAAGAAGATATGGAAACAACCCAAATACCCAAAAATAGATGACTAGATCAAGAAGATGTGGTATATATATACACAATGGAATACCATTCAGCAATCAAAAATATAAACTCATGCCATTTGCAGCAAAATGGATGGAGCTGGAAGGGATTATGCTCAGTGAAATAAGCCAGAAGGAAGAAGAAAAATATCAGGTGGTTTCACTTATAGGAGGAATGTAAGGGAACCAAATAAGGGACCAGGAAAAAATAATTATAATAAATTAAAAAAACAAAATTAACAGTCAATTATTAATCAGAGACACTCTGCAGGGGAGGGTGAGGGAGAGGGATCAAAACAGGGGAGGGAAGAGCACAAGAGACTGTGGTGATGGTTCACAGGTGAATTGGTGGTGGGAATTTTACAGGGACTACACCTGAGAGAAGAAAGCATGCATTGTACAAAAAGGAAGAATGATGTAAAATATAGATAAAATTAAATTAAATTTATAAAAAGAAAGAAATGAATTGAAGGTGACCCTACAATTGTCTGTGGTAAAGAACTTTCTTTGATTGTGGGTATAGTGCAGTGACATACACCTGAGGAAATGTGACCTTACCCCCCCCAATCATATACAGTGTTTAAAACCAACATTACCTTGATGATGATGATGTCGGTGGCCCTATCCATTATTAAAGATAAAATCCTGCCCCCCCTTAATTAATAATAGACAGAACTATTTAAGAGACTAGGGTCCTAGCAAAGGTTATGAGTGATAGGCTAAGGTAACTGAACTCAAAGATGATCCAATACAAAGGTGAAATATGCATTTGCTTTGCTGTGCCAGCAACACAATCCAGGGCATGAAAGCGCCCATCTCAGAAGCTATACGCACTTTTGCCTTGTTTCCCTTACTTTACTTAAATTTTTCTTAGCTTGCCACATGCTTCTGAGGCCAAGTCTTCCTCTGGCCAGTTGGAAACTAACAAGCAGTCTTGCTTTGTGTCTTTGACAGGTCGCCTGAAGGAAGAGATCACACAGCGGCACATGCAGCAAGTAGCTCTAGGTAGGTACAACGTGGAACCTGCAGGGAAAGAAAATTGAAGGTAACACCAGCTGATCTGGCTTCAGAAACCCACTCCCAGCTAAAAGATAATCCATCCCAAACCCTAGGAAGGGTAGGGAAGGTGAGGCTGGCTCACTGCAGCTTCCTTCAGATGCCCCTTCTCTCTGGGACAGTTTCCCCCAGATCTGTGCTGCTCCTGGTGGTCAGTGCCTGGCATCCCACCCTTCTAGCTACCTCATCCTCCTGATCTTTTCTACTCTGCACCCAGTCTAAATTTCCCCACTATGTCCCAGCTCCTCAGGTTCTACTCTCCTAGAGTCATTACTGACTGATCCTAGGAGCCTTGATGAAAACAGCTTCCCTTTGTTGAATCACTTCTCTACACCAGTTTGTATGCATTGTCCCCTTTCATTCTCACTACAGCCCTAAGAGGCAGGAGCATTTACCAGATAAAGGTGCTTCAGTGGCTTGGCCAAGGTTACTAGTAAGTGTTGAAACTAGGATGTGAATCCATTTCTCTGAGTGCAAACTTACTCTCAGCCTCACGCTATTTTCTGCCCTCAACAATGAGGGATGTATCTCAATGCATTAATAAACAAATGTAGTCAATGCATTAATAAACGAAAGCTTACGAGGAAGAAGTGGATTTAAAAGTGGACATCTGCAGAAAATGTCCCTTTTTGATATGTGACCCAAGGAAGTTACCTGGGAAGGGAGTGCAGCTACCAGAAAGGCTGGTGAAGCTGGCCCCCCGGGCAGGACCAGCTCACCCCCTCTCCAGCTAGCCTGGGACTAAGCACCTACAGGTCTTTGTCTAAAAGGAATTCATGTGAACAGCCCAAATGCCCAAAAATAGATGACTGGATCAAGAAGATGTGGTACATATACACCATGGAATATTACTCAGCATTCAAAAAAGATAAACACATGCAATTTGCAGCAACATGGATGGCACTGGAAGGGATCATGCTCAGCGAAATAAGCCAGAAAGAAAAAGAAAAATACCGGATGGTCTCACTCATAGCAGGAATCTAGAAAACTTAAATAAGGGACCAGGAAAATGAATAACTATAAGAAAGTGAAAATCAAAATCAACAAAAAACTATGAACCAGAGACACTTTTTGGGGAGTGGGGGGCGGAAGGGGAGGGATTGGGGTCAGAATGGGGGGTGTTGCAAATGTATGGGGAATATAAAAATAAAATTTATTATTTAAAAATAAAATAAAAATAAAATAATACTACCTCAAAAAAAAAATAAAAAATAAAAGGAATTCATGTGTACCAAACAAGGAGTTTGTAGTGGCAGGTTGGGACAGAGCAGGATCTCTATGATCCTATGCAGACAGGTAAAGGAGAGAGTCCTGGAGCCCTCAGTGGCTTTTTCGGGATTTTATTGAGTTTACCAGGTACACGGCAGGCAGGGGTGCTGGGGGGGGGAGGGGCAGGGGGGAGGGGCTGGGAGGCCCCTGGCAAATCTTCACTCTTTCTGTGTTCCCAGGCGTTCTCTCGTGGCCTCTGCTTCTCTGCTGGTGCTGCTCTCTCACTTGCTCTCCTTCTCGTCTGCTGTTCCCAGCACTGCTACTCTTGCTCTCTCCTGGTGCTTCTGCTGGCGTCCCCATGATGCCCTCCTTATAAGCCCAGTCTCAGCCCAGATGTACCCACCTATGTATGCCCACACCCCACTCCAGGTGCCCGCCATCAGGCATGCATTCAGGATCTCAGGGATCTATCATCAATCTTAATGGCGGGAGGGCAGAAAAGCCTGGCAATTATTTACCCTACAGGGTTCCTCTTGGAATGTCTGGCCCCTGAAATGATCTACAATTGGAGAAATTCAGCATCCAGAACCTGTGGGGGGAGGGAGGAAACCCCAACATCATGCAGATGACCCATTTGGCCTTCATAACTTCATTAGGAAGGTTGGCTAATGAGTTTCAGTAATAGTGATGGTCATATCAAATAACTGATTACATCAGAAACATAGAACAAGGGAACAAGAAACTGAGCTTCCTGCTGTTGGTCCTGGGATGGGAGGGTCAAGTAGACACCCCAGGCCTGCCTCCTGTTGCCAAGGATTTGGACAGGAGTCAGAACTCAGACTCTGCCCATTGCTTTCTCCATGCAAGGACCCAGGGCTACCCCAGAACTCTACCTTGTGAGGCAGGGCTTGAGCAGGGTGCATGGCCTCTGTTGGGAAGCTAAAGCTACAACAAGGTGACCTGCTGGCCATCCCTAAGGGCTATCTCTGGGCCCTGCAACACTGACCTCTTCAGCATTCACACTGCTAGCTGAGCAGAAATAATGATGTGGCAAATGCTACTTAATCACTCCAGAGGCCACTTTTATCTAGTGTCTGGGAAGACACTTCCGTGAGTTTCACAGCAAGAGGCACTCCATTCTCTGTACCCCAGTCCCTGATTCTCCTGGGTCTTTGGAAAACCCCTGCATCTCTTCAACCGCAAGCTGCTCCCTCATTCCTTTCCTTATCTCTCTGGGTGCCTTTTTCTCAATTACAGCAGGTGTCAGGTTCAGCAGGGCCCAGCTTTGCCTGAAGTAATCAGTAAACTTCAAACAGAAAGCACTTTGGCTGGAAGGCTAATTAAGAGCATTTGAAATACCTGTTTAATTTAAAAGCATACCATCCCAATTAGAGCAGTGTTAACATCTCCCAGCTGCCATGTTGAAATTAAAATGCCATGTTGCTGTCCAGACTCCTTGGGAGCTTGTCTGATGGAGATGTGGAACCCCCAGGGCCTGTGAGTCTCAGGTGACCGCGTTTCAGCAGGGAATCCTTCTCATAGAGAGAGACTTCTCAATAACTAATTGTTCATAGAACTGTTTCTGTCTTAATCCTCACCCTTCAGGCCAGTTTGGGGCCAAAGGCTGGGATCCATGGCTTCTCTAAGACTAAAAGCAATTCAATCCGTATATGGGTTTGCTGATGTTCTGAAATTGTCCATCAGAACAAAGCAGCAACTGCATCTGCTTCTATTTCTTTAGTTTTATTTCTCTCATATTCTTGAGCTTCCCACTTTCTGCTCCATGTCCTTGGTCTGTCTCTCCACTTTCCCCTCACCCTCCACTTTAAGGATTCTCTTTGCCATTGTTTCCTCTGCATTCATGTTTCTAAGTTTCCATGAAGGTGTAGGTAGGATTGCTTGTTTATCCTGAGGGGAAGAGGTCATGGGCAAATTGGAGCAAGAGAGGTTTTGTCATGTATTTTACATAATGATATGCCTCTGTGTGTACTTAGACTAGATGTGTGCCCAAGAATATTTGTATAATGCCAATCCTGTGTCCCCAAAGAGCAAAGATTCATTCAGTGGTGATATGAGAGGTACCAGGTGCAAGAAATTGTAGACTGATGAAGGAAATGATTTCCAGTCAGGTACTCGAGCTAGCTTGGCCCATCCAAAGGGCAGTAAAGATCTTAGGAATTTGGAGAGCCATGGTTAAATGCAACTGTTATTAAAAAATAAGTTATAGGGCCTCCCTTGTGGCACAGGCGGTTGAGCACCGCACTGTGAAGCTGTCTCTGCAGTGCAGGTTTGATCCTGGCCGGCCGGCCAGCGAGAATCCCACATGGCGAAGCAGACTTCTCCTGTCTCGCCTGCTGCTCCCCTCAGCAGTGTATTTCAGTAGATTCACCTGTTCTGCTCCCCACTCTGTCTCTGGTGTATCATCTCATCCCCCAGCACCTCTCACCTACACCCTAGTTCTTGTATGCATGAATAAATAAAACAAATCATTTAAAAAATTGAATTATAGAATTTTACAATTAAATAAATTGTATTTTAAAACAAAGCTAACATAATACTCAATGTGTCACTTCCTAATTAATTTACTAGGTTTTACTATTAAGTGTGCTGTGGAGATTATTTACATCAAGAGTGTATGCCATGACATTACCATTTAGTGGCAAGCTACTCTTCCCAGTTCCACCTGCAGTGGCATCACACTGGCAATTGCAAATCAGTCACGGTGGGAGTTTTGACACCCAAGAAGTGGACAAGTGTTGCAAATTGGGGCTTTCCCCCAGAAAGCTGGTTATTAAACATTTACCTGACACCACAGTAGAGAGGCCAGTTTTGTCCACGTGGGGGCACTCTTCTGAAGACTTCCACTCTCCTTCCTGGCTGAAAGCCAGATGAGGGTTCTCTCATGGCTTACTGTGCAAGGAACCCTGATCCCTTGGAAAGTCAGTAGAAAGGGAAACCAGTGGAGACAGAAGTGGGGTAGGGGAGGCACTGACCCAAGAGAACCCCTTAATGTGGCCACCAAAGCCAGGGGCCAGGATCTTACAAGAGAAGCATGAATGTGAGCAGTTCTGGGAACTTCATCAACAAGCAACAGGCACCGGTGGAGTAGGACGTGCTCTCACACAGTTTCAGAAACGATAATACACTGTTGTTTTATTTCAGGCTATGTACATTTCATAATTGTTTATTTTGTTCATTCCAAGTCCTGTGACAAAATGGCTATCCTGTAGATTAGGAGGGATGCCGAATTACCAAATGTTAACAAAACTTAAATCCTCAAGAAAGACCTCATTACCCAAAGATTGTTGAGTGTTTGGCCTACATACAATGTCAGCTCATAAAATTTATTTTTTTAATGAAGAGAATTGTAATGGTTTTATTTTTTTAATTTTTTAATGAAGTACCATTGTTTTACATCCTTGTTAATATTTTGACAGTATAGATTTCTCCCAGGATTCAGCGTCCATTTATGATGGAAACCTTGGAAAACTGGGTTAAATGGAACATAGCTGAACCAGCCCTTGAAAGCTGACCATGAAACAGTGTTAGCTTTACATTAAGCATCATTTGAAAATGATACTAATTGAGCTAGATTCATAGTAGAGAGGGCTTTGCTGAATTCAGTTGTGTGGTTTTTCCACTTTAATGTACTTTATACCTAAATGGTAATGTCAATAATGCAGATGAGAATAATGAGCAACCATTTCTTAGTCCTGTATCATATACAGACCATAAGTCTA